CTGTAAATCATATGATTTTGATTGCAATGCGTGCAAATCAATTTATTTTTATTTTTATTATAATTCGACACATTAGTATTTAAAACTGTTTTTGATATACTTTTACTGTAGTTATTACCGTTGCTTTTGTAATTGTTACCTGTAGGCTTATTTCTTGATTGTAACGAAATCGCACTTGTATTAGATGAATGTTCGAGTACTTTAACTTGTTTATTTACAAAACTATTTAATTCCGAAAACGATGGAAGTGAGTTTTGATCCCGATTTTCTTCAAAAAGCCTCCTAGTATGCGCATCCAACCCACGTAAGGCTAAATGACAAAATAAATAGTCATGCAATTTTTTTATTTTTAACGCCTCGATGGCTTTAAAAGAGTGATCGAATGTTTCAATAAATAAGGTAAGATTTGCGGTAGTATCCTTATTTAACGGCGTAAAGTTTATCATTTTGTCGATGTACCTACCCACGAGTATTCGATCATCTTGATATTTATTACATAAACTTTGCCATACGAGAATATAATTAGCGGATGTTATAGGCAGTTTTTTAACAATGTTTAACGCCGAACCTTTAACACATGAGAGTAAAATAGTGAAACTTGTCTATTTCGTCGAAATCTCGATTGTGAACAAGTGATAAAAATGTATCGTAGAATGTGGACCACTTCTCAATATCGCCATCGAATTCGAATAATCGCAATTTAGGTAATGACGGCCTTACATCAGTCCTATCTTTCCCACTGATGGGTGCCTGATCGCTCGGTTTTAATCGTAAATATTGCAACCTACATGCCTTGTAAAGTTCATCAAATGTATCTAATTCACGGGTTGACAATCTTGTCTCCGGTTTTAATGATATATCTATTTCAATAATATTTAACACTGTTTCTTCAAACTTTGAGCGGACACTTTCTAATTCGGAATAATCCGCTAAGAAATTCTGGATTTGTGCGGAATCATTCATTTGGGATTTCGCAAGATCGAAAATCTTTTGTAATTTAGCAAATAGGTATTCCTTTTTAAAAATAAGTGTTTGCCTTTTTATCTGCAATTTGTCCGACATTATGAACAAAAAACAACAAGGTGAATTTAGATACTTTATAAACGTACCGCAAGCAATGAAAATTTAGGTAGAAAAGGCGAATTAAATAAGTGTTAAAAATAAAATAAAAAGCGCTTAACTCAAGTATATGACGTCCACGGGACGCTAATTAAGGGTAGAAATTTTATATATGAAAATCACTAATTTAAATAAATGCGGCTCAAAGGCCAGAAATGTGGCGGCTTGGGATGATTTTTAAATTATATAGTGGACTGTATTGATATTCAATATCCCCTGAAACGTACAGTTACCGCAATCACAAAACTACACTAAAAAAACAATAAAACTACTCACGGTCTTACTAGCCAGCTTCCCAAGATCGGCAAACGTTGACAGCTCCTGGTGGCTTCTTCTACACGGTAGAATACACTAGTAATTAGATTGTACACGGTACACTCTAGAGTAGTCCTTATTTTTAGTTTTGAAGAGATATTCACTCCACGATAACACAAAGAGATGTAGGCTTCTTACGCTTCCTACCCTCCCTTTTATTCCTTTTTTTGTCCCCACAGATTATAGACGCGCGTTATGCGTCACAATGTTGCCACAGGTTATCACCGGCGCTCAGATCGTTGTAGATCATTGTGTCTCGGTATAAAATTTGCGAGTTGCGGTTTATTACTGAACAATATGTTTATGCACAAAAGTGAGCACCTTATTTCTATGCCTACTACTAATTTAACACATTGTTGAAGCAGATTAGCCGTTCAAATGAAAGAACAAGACAGTAGCATACCACTGTCTTGCCATTCTTCCGTTTCATTGATGCACTGTTTCCCATTGAAAAAATACAACATTTTTGTAGAAAATAAAGAAGGCTGTTGTACCTAACTAATAAAAATACACATTTTTCGGGATAACACGTTGTTCTCGCCAAGAGGTGACACATACAAAAAAAAGAACATACAGTCGAATTGCAAACCTCCTTTTTTTGAACTCCGCTAAGAAGGTAGAAGTATTTTATTTATTTATCCGATCATTAAAGCTTAACCAGCTACAACTAAGTTTAGAATTCTAGCTATTCAAGGTATCATTAGGTATGCAAAATTATAAGTGTGTAGGTCTAATAAATTTTCAGTTATCGGGTGCTCGAAAGCGGCCCGAAATAGTTAGTGTAATTTATATGCCATCAAAACATAACTTATAAAAAAACCAAGTATCGCAACTCAGTTCTTGTACCGTAAAAAGTTGTGAGATCCATGTTATAACAAGTCGGTTAATTTATTCAGTCACTACTTAAGGATTTTCTGTTTTAAGTTATTACGTAATTAGCTAACCTAACAACATTTTATAATGACCACATCAATGTTAAATATCTTTTATGTTTCAAATAAATAGATTGACTTGGCCATCGCATGAAAACACAATGTAGCTCACAAGTACTACATATATTAAATTAGATTGCTTAATGCGATTGCCAAGTCAACCTATATATTTAAAACATAAAAGATATTTAACATTGATATGGTCACTATAAAATGTTGTTAGGTTAGCTAATTACGTAATAACTTAAAACAGAAGGACCCTTATGTAGGGACTGAATAAATTAACCGACATGGTATATAACATGGATCTCACAACTTTTTACGGTACAAGAACTAAGTTGCGAGACTTGGTATTTTTACAAGTTATGTTTTGATGGCATCTCATTTCTTTTTGTAGATAAGATAATCCTACTTTTTCCCTTCCGGTACCTTCTACTTCCGGAATACCAACAACGTACCTATCTACACCTATTATACATATTATACAAGATACAGAATGCACTGATTCATTAACTGCAAATGTAACTTTGTAATTCTATATATTTATATGGTATTACAAAATTATTTATGCAGTTGGTGTATCTAGAAAACTGGACCGAAATTAAAAAATATTTTAATTTTTCCTTGATTTATACAATAAATACTAATTGTGTTCTAAATTTGAAGCGTCTATGTCTGCTACAAGTACCTTGAAGTTTTGATGTTCGGTCAGTAACTGAGTGACAAAATTAAGAAACTTTGGCTAGTTATAATTCTTAAACTACTGGTTCAAATTGAATGAAATTTAAAATATGCCATTTTTATATAATGCCTACTAGGTTACTGAAAATTCAGGCTTCTAATTTTATCAACTACGAAGTTATAGGGTGTCGAACATGGCCTGAATTGCTTCGAGAAAAGTATGGTCACGGCCGTGCTGCTTTTTTGCTCGACTTGACGGAGGCACTGCCGTGCCCAGATACGAGTGCACACTGACAGTGCGTCGCCCTTTTTTTTCGAACCTAACTAACACACTAGATTATACATCATAAAGTCTATTATAAGTAATTTCAATCCTTTTGGTGGCTATGAATTTTAAGATGAAAATTACAATTTCCGTATCTATAACTAACAATGTTTATAAGTGCGATAACGATGTAATTATAATAAGTCCAGATGACTCGAATTTTACCGAGCTTATCTTCAATTTTTTTGGATATTTGAATGAAAAACTACTTATTTTAAATATAAGAAGAAAGAGAAATGTTTTGTCATGAAGTGAAACCAACTGTTTTATATCTGGTAAAATGCATCGTACTGAAACTATTCAACGTGCTACTATGAACAAGAAAAATAAAGAAATATACGTGGTAGAACCATGGTGCAATTATATTAGTAGTATAGTTGTAGGATGAATGGATCGGCTCGACCGGGGAAGGACCACGCTCTCACAGAATACCAGCGTAAAATAGTAGCTTAATGCTGCTGTGTTTCGTATGGTGAGTGTACAGAACCGGAGACCCATTTTACTGGAAACGAGGCATTCCATCTTAGTCCTCACGGGTGACAATGCATCTGCATTTTGATTCGTAATCGAGGATAGATGTAGATGTCTATGGACCACAGCAACCACTTACCATCAGGTGGACTGTGTGCTCGTTTGTCAACCCATCCTATAAAAAAACTAATTCAAGGTAAATCATCCTTAGGATACAAAAAGCTCTGTCCTTTTTTATACATCTTTTTATTGCTATGTGCTTACAATAATATTCTTTTATTTTCTCAAAGGAAGTGGCACTGGTCGCCACACACGGTCAGTTTAACTGATCATTACAACTGATCAGTCCAAACTAAAACTGTTGATATTTTTTAAAATATTGGATTTTCGATATATCGATATATAAACTTATATATATAACTCCGATATTGATATATTTATAATTTTCAATATATCGAAAATTCAATGTTTTAGAAAATATCAACAGTTTCAGTTTTAACTGATCAGTTAGAATGATCAGTTGAACTGACCGTGTGTGGTGTCCATGACATTGATTAGCTAAAGAAAATGTCCACAGTTACGAATATTCTTATAAGAGGAAAACTACATTTTGAAAATCGGAAAACTTGAAGTATTTATGTTATTTAGATTTAATTTGATAGAAGTACATGGAAATACGTCAAAGGAAACAAATAATGTGGAAATAAATAATTTATTCAATATCGTATCACAATTCACAACAATAATTAAAAAAAATAATAAATTAAAAACCTTATGCTAACTTAATCTACGCTGTGTACTTTTCGTTATCAAATGCTTCTGGTTTTCATTCAAATGTAGGTATAAAATATTATGATAATCTCAAACATCTTCATCTCACAGCAAAAAGTATTGAACAAAATACAAAATAGACACTAACGATAACATCGACAAAAGAAATTATAAGGGGTGGGTTTAAATATTATAATTCCTAATGGGAAAAATTATAGGTCAGACAAAGTAGAAAAGTCTACAAGTAATTATAATAATAATAATCATTATTCAGGCAATTTACACCCATAAATTGTGCAAATTGCCTGAAATTCTATATTAACAGATTAAATGTAAACCTGTTTTTAATTTTGATAGATGAAAGTACAAACATATCTCTATGAATTTTAAACTCTAAACGGTGTAGGTTGTTCTGGATCAACGACTTTACCCGCGACTACAACCAGGTTGTCCAGACGGTCTATGATGTAGAAGATGAATGGATGCTCGACGTAGAAGCGGCGTGGCGATCTGTCCTCGTAGAGAGGGATGTTCTTTAGCGATTGCACTCCGGGGTTGGCAACTAAACGTAATAAAAAAGAACAATATATAGTTATTTCGACTAATTATAAGCTTGTTATGAAATTGAAGTTTATAATATATAGTTGTGATTTTATTATAAATGTCCTCAGGTGTCGTCACTAGGATAAAATCCCTTTGATGTAATTTAGTAATCACTAGCTGTTCCCAGCCAGTTCGTCCGCGTGGGATTTATATGGATTGAATTTTATGAGTTTTTTAATTTTTGTGCGCGAAACCAAAATTATTTTCTAAAATAAAAGTTACTCCTTGTAATCTCACCTATCTGCCAGTGAAAGTCCTGTCAAAATCGGTCCAGCCATTTCAGAGATGAGCCGGAACAAATCGCCAGAATTTTTTTAAAAAATTGCTTTGATTGTTATAAGTACCGTATTTACTTCACATGCGTTTAGTGAAAAGCTTTTATTTTGACATCACATAATATACTCATACTCATAGTCTCATGAGACTGTAATCCGACACGATCAAAGAAAGATTAGGCGTACAATAAACGGCTTTCCGTGCTTTTCGAAGCACGGGTTTGAAACACCGCCAACTTCTTATTAACAAAATTTTCAGTAGCAGCTGCTTTTGTTTTTACAGATAAACCCAATAACAAGGAATCAAAAGCCAGTAACCGCTATATCAACCTATAATAGCCCACCAGGTAGAAAAATGTTGATACACGTATCTTACCGCTAAGTTCATTCGCAGTGGAATCAGCATTGTCCACGCGGACGGCAACATGTTGCACAAGCTCTTGAACAAATAAGCCCTCGTCTTGCGATACACCAGAGAGCTCAGCTTCGCGGCTAAATATGTTGCTTACCCCAAACTGCAACGGAAACAAAACACGAGCTTTTAAAATATGACTAAGGTTCGCGTTTAATGGAATTAAATAGGTATTTAGTTTAATCCAGCTATAACCAATATTGCATTCTTGCATAAATTTTGCATAAAGTCTGCATAAATAGTATACTTGCAAAATATTATTATATACAAATAGGGGTCAAACGCCGCGCAGTGGGTCTTAAGAGAATTTACTACGCATTATCATCCCGCAGATGTAATAAGTAGCTGCGGAGAGAAATAAGACAGGAGACAGGCAGTAGCCTCTTTCTGATAACTATATAAAAAAAACTGCTAGTACCAATACGCCTGCCCAGCGCAGCAACCATGGCAAATATGAAGCAATCAATAGTGAAATTTTGACAGGCTGAAACATAGAATACTATAATACATACATAATAGAACGGGGGTGTGGGCGGAACCCGTGTAGCCACTAAAATGCCACTAACACGTCAATTCACACGTATAAGTGTCAACACGTGATGTGTTTCGACGTTACAATCGTTTCTAACGGAGTATTTCTGCCTAATAGCGAGAAATAAGAGCATATGCCCAGTAATTGAACATAAGTATGTCGTTTTTCTTAATTTATAACCGTCGATCAATTATTGATGTTTTCTTACTATTCAAGATTTCTCATTAATATTAAGACTGGAATACTAAATATTATAAAAGTGTGACAAATAAGCTATAATTTCACTTAATAGTGTGTGACTATTGCAATTCGTGGATAACTAAAAGCAGCTTTAAACATTATATTGATATATGATGTGTCATCAGAACCTAGGTCAACAGCCGTCAGGTAAATCGCTTACAGGAAAAGTTGGCACAGTTTTAGTTATAGAAATAATTAAGGTATAATAATAATGTCCTCCAGACCGAATTTCGGCCACGGCGATCAGCCCCAACGGAGGCTAGCCATCGGCGCAGGACAGGATTATAGTGCCCAAGTGTATGCGCAAGCACAGGTGTACTATCAATTCCCTAACTCTCATAATCCAATGGGACGGTAAACCGGCTTAACGTGCTTTCCGAGGCACGGAGGTGAGACACCGTCAACTTCCTGACTCCAGGCAGCTATTGAGAATTTCTTGACGGAAAAACTTAATAATTGATTTTTGGCCCGACCCGGGATTCGAACTCAAGACCTCATGATCAGCAGTCGCACTACTACAACCACTAGACCAACGAGGCAATTAAGGTATAAACAATCAGTCGCAGCATAGTAAAATGTTCTTACCTTTGTTTGTAAAAGATAAAGAAATTATACCGTTATGTTATGAAATGCTTCGCCTAACTTTTTATTAAATAACCGTATATAAAGCTGACACTTGGAGAGTTATAGTTATGGAAATAGTTATGGTATACTCACTTCATTACACCTGATATTTTATCGTTTTTTTAATCAGGCGCAGCATAGAAAAATGTTCTTATCTTTGTTTCTTAAAGATAAAGAAATTATACCATTATATTATGAAATGCTACGCCTTACTTTTTATTAAATAACCGTATACAAAACTGACACTTGGAGAGTTATAGTTATGGAAATAGTTATGGTATACTCACTTCAGTACACTCGATATTATATTGTTTTTTTTTAATCAGACGCAGCATAGAAAAATATTCTTATCTTTGTTTGCAAAAGATTAAGAAATTGTACCGTGATATTTCGAATCGCTTTGCCTATTTTTAATTCAATAACCTTATACAAAAATCCATAAATATACCATAATAAAATAAATGATAAAATAGTATATAAAAAAATTTTCTTACGAAAATATAAATATTTCCTATATACATATAAATGGTAAAACTATAAGTAACTAAATAAATAATAGTAAAACTGAATCTAGGCATTGTTTTCACGTATTTTATACATTTTTATTATTTAGTGGATATCAACAATAACAAGTAGATAAGAAAGGATGTATGTACTTTTTATTATATAAAGTATGTATAAAAAGTATGTATGATAAGTGTGAACATCACCCATGGGAATTGTGATGAAATATCTCTTTTACTCTCCGAACAGCATTAAAGATCTGGTGCACTATTACGTAGATTCAAAACTATGTAAGAGAGTTCATACTGTACACCCAGCTACATGCACGAGCATCTTGTAACAAAATAATTCTCTACTCAAAGGTATGCCACGTATACAGTGATGGGTATTCATATTTCCATTGACATAGCATATTAACGGCACGAATGTACAAGATAATGGTTCTTACGAAAACTTCTAGATTTTCACTTCTTAAGAAAATTTTGATACAGCAGTTACCTTGGCTAAAGCCGCAACTGGTTTAGTAGTTGTCTCCACGTAGAACGACGGCAAAGACACTTGTAATTCTTCGTCTTGAAGCGTTTCTTGTATTTCGGAGACAGGAACGGAAGGCAAGTCAGCAGTGAGACGAGTCAGACCGTCACGCGAACGTGGCACTACCAACAAGAGTGCGTATCGTCCGCCCTGAAATTTTTTAAAATTTTTATCATACTTAGGGTTTATTTGAAGGTCAGATAAATACAATGGTTAAACTATAGACGTCCGGTACTCGCGTACGCTGTTGGGAAGGGGAAGGGGGAGGGGATGGGGTCATGGGAAGCCCCCCCTACCCTTCCCCCGTTGCGAAAATGTATAGTTTATGAGTAATAATTTTTTTGTAAAATCATAACCTCACTTTTTTATACAGGAATATTGACGCAAAGTTACTTCTGCAACGACTCCGGCACTGCGGGAAGTGCAGCCCCTTCGCTCGCCTCCTTAGCTTCGGCTTATTGGTCACCTTCGGCGACCAGCCTCAGCCGCTGCGGCTGACTTCCGTTTCGGGCGGGGCTGCTCCCTCTGTGCCTACGGCTTCACAAAAACACTCTAGGGGTAGGGCAGACAAGACTACGGGGAGTCGGGATGTGCTAATTCGGTTTTAGAACCGATTCGATCTATCTTATTTATAAAGTTGCCCTAAACTCTGCCATGATAGTGGTAAATGAAATAATGTAATGTGAATTGTTATAATTTTGATATCTGAAAAACCACTTGACTGCTCTCCATTGTGACTCAATTTATTGTATATAAGTCCCATCTCCAGCCATAAATAGATTGTTTGGCTCCGAGTGATTAACTTTTTTATGAGTGTATCTGTGTTAAAAAAGCAAATGGACATATTTGCGTTTCGTTATTGCAATTTTTAGTGAAATTTATTTTTGTCGTAATTAGTTCAAAAGATATTTCCGAAATCCAAAAACAGTGTAAATGGTTCGAGCTTAACCCTGACAATCCTCCTAAATTGAAAACAAACTTAAAAAATCAAGAACTGAACATCTACTTTATAATACGAGAACAAATTGACATATTTGCGTTTCGTTATTACACAATTTTTAGTGAAATTTATTTTTATCGTAATTAATTCAAAACGCATTTCCGACATCTAAAAACAGTGTAATAGGTTCAAGTTTAACCCTAACAAGCCTCCTAGACTAAAAACATTATCAAAATCAAGTACCGGATGTCTATAGCCAACCCACAATTACTGCAAAAACCTAGCTATTTAAGGCTAAAAGTCTTAAATAGCTAGGTTAGCTATTTCACATTTTATTGCAACAATGTTTGATCTTAACGGTCGATCTATTATTCCAACGTGTGCCTTGCAGAGATTCCGTAGTGAAACGTAAAAGTCTTATTAATTTTGGGTCATATTTAAAATACAATTTACAAATTCGTTTTATTATTACCTTATGAAAAAATAAAATTAAAGAGATCAAGCATTTCAGTAAACATGGGTAATACCACTCTTACCTTCAGATTTTATTTTATTTTATTTTATTTTATTTTATTCTTTATTGCACCAAAGATTTTGTACAAAAGGCGAGCTTAATGCTATATGGCATTCTCTACCAGCTAACCTTGGGTAGAACAGAGAGTGAGTTATGGGCAGTAAAGATGTCATGATCTCATTCAATTCAAAATGTACATGCTACACATACATATAATATATATATACACATATATATTATATACACTTGCACACACATACATATGTATATACATATATATATATATATATATATATATATATATATATATATATATATATATATATATATATATTCATATATACATACACATATACATATATAAATATATATCTCCATAAATTTATATACAAATACCTATAAACATATAAAGTAAGTGGACTCAAATTTGTTGGTTACGGATATATTCGTATAGTTTTCTTTTAAACACGTTTTTAGCAGGTATTGTGAGCAGGTCAACAGGCAATTTGTTCCAGAGGGATATGGAAGTTAATGTGAAAGAATTTGACATAAACCCAGAATGGTGGAGAGGAGTAGACAGTAATAAATTGTGTGAAGACCGGAGATTGAGAGAATGAGTGTCACTACGGAATTGGAATCTTTCTTTTAGGTAAAGGGGTGAGGAAGAATCATTAAGAACTGAAAACAGAGAGGACAGCATTCGAAAATCTCTGCGCTGGCGTATAGTCAACCACTTTAATTGGGAGCGAAATTCTGATACGTGATCGTATTTGCGCAGACCAAAGATGAATCGTATGCAGTTGTTAAGTAACCTGTCCAACCTGCTTAGCAGCTCCTGAGAGATATTAGAAAGACAAACATCGGCATAGTCAAATAATGGAAGAATTAGAGATTGGATGAGTAGAAGCTTAGTTGAAGGAGGCAGAAAGAACTTAAGACGATAGATGGAACGAAGTATGCCTGTGACTTTACGACAAATCTCGGACACCTGTAACCTCCAACTAAGGGTCGGGTCAATAATTAAACCCAGATCCTTGACACTAGTGCGGAAAGGAATTACACAGTTTTCATAGCAAATGGATGGTAGATCAGGTATGTTAAGTTGTGACACCAATCGACGACTACCAATGATAATAGCCTGGCATTTACTGGGATTTACCATTATACCAAATCGCTGTGACCAGTCTGAAATGCGTTGTAATTCCTGATTAATAGCTGCAATAGCGGTAGCAATTTCAACCGAGGACGCTTGTGAGTATAACTAAAGATCGTCAGCGTATAGGTGGTAAGAACATTGAAGGTGGGTAGTTAGAAGATTGATAAACAACGAAAACAAGAGAGGAGAGAGAATGCCGCCTTGCGGTACACCTACATATAGATCGCACCAGTCGGAAAAATCCTGACCAGCCCGAACAGCCTGCTGGCGACCGCGAAGATAAGAGGAAAACCAGTTCAGTACTGACGGGGAGAAGTTTAGGCGTGAGAGTAATCCAAGGAGTAAGTCGTGATCGACACAATTAAATGCGTTTGAAAAGTCAATAAGGACCAGAACAGTCAAACATGACCTCTCCATGCCCTCTCTAAAATCTTCTGTAACTTGAAGTAAAGCTGTGGTGGTACTATGTCCCGGGCGGAAGCCAGATTGATATGTACTAAGGTAGTTGCATTTCGAAATGAAAGAGGTGACTTGTTTGTGTACCAATGATTCAAGAGCTTTGGAAAGAAACGGCAGTATAGAAATAGGTCTAAAATGGGAGGGTAGGGATGGATTGGGTACCTTCGCAAGAGGCAAGATAAAAGCTTTTAGCCATAACTTAGGGAAAATACCAGTAGAGAGGGAGAAATTGATGATGTGAGTGAGAACTGGAGTAACAATATCGAGTATGAGAAGTATCATAGGTCTACTCACCTCATAATATCCGGTTGCGGAAGATTTTATTGAAAGTATGACTTTTCTAGTATCATCGTCAGTCACTGAACTGAAGTCGAAAGAATTACATGATAACAAAGGCATGGAATTATGTTCCTGGAGAGTCGTAGCTTTGGTGGACAAATGCAGACGTGATGCAGAAGAGAAGAGTATATTCAAGTCGTTGAGTGAAATATTTGGGATTAGAGAATTGAAATGTGATTTTCCAAATCCCAGGGAATTAAGGAACTTCCATATATCTGCAGAAGAGGAGTTTGAAATACTATTGTGGAAGTAGCGGCGTTTGGCTGTTCTTACCACCTGATTACAACGGTTTCGTGCTCGCTTATATTGTTGAAAGGTGGTACTGTTCCGATTCTTTTTAAAAATGTGAAAAGCTCGATCTCTTCTTCTCATTGCTCTACGCACTTCGTCAGTTATCCACGGTGCAGGAGGTCGACGTAACATGACTGCTCGAACTGGTGCGTGCCTATCGAACAGGTTGAGAATTTGGGTGTTCAAATGAGCAATTTTGTCTTCCATATTATTTGCATCCAGCAATTGGCCCCATTCTATATTCTTAGCATCGCGGTGTAGTCGAATGGTGTCAATTTTATTGAAATTGCGTAAATACACAATCACTGGCTTTGGCTTGGGAGGCTTTAATTTAATACAGATTTTCTTCAGATTTTGAAATTATGTATTTTAATATCTATGTATCGGTTAATATCTCGAAGATTAACCCTTATCTCTGTAAGGAAGTCAATATCAGGAATACGTGATTTCAAATGCCGGATATGGTATGCATAAATTTATATATTTAAAAATGAAACCACTTTATCTTACAACCAAGAGTGCTTTAGGTAAGTAATTTTATCTGCTTTACTCATAGTACCCGGTTGACCGGTATTTTTCGCTCGGTTTTTTTTTTAATTCGTGTGTTTTGGAAATTATATTTAGATACAAATTACATACTGATGAAATACGAATAATATTTTTTGATCTTAGCGACATAATAGAAAAAACTTAACTGGTTATTTGAATAAAAACTCATGAGTGCAATTAGTTCAATATAAATTTTCGTGTTTTTAAAAAATACTAAAAAAAGGACTCGAAAAAATAGATTTGGTCCTGGTCCGAACCCACGCTATATATACCTTTTAGACCTTACTAACGTGAGTACCATGTTTTTTTAATAGAGATTTTTTGGTTATTTTTGTACCCTGTGTGTAATTTTCAATCAAAAACATTGTGAAAATACGTCTTGAAAATACTGCGGCATTAGATGCCAAATTTTTCAGCCGGTTCCTTATTCCGATGTATGTACCGCGGAATAGCGATTTTAGGGTTGTTTATATTATTAAGCCCTTCCCGCTTTGGGTATGATTACTCAAAAAGGTGTAAATATTAAAATATATTTCCGAGGTAAACTTTTTCATTTCATTCAGTAATTATAGCACATCAAAGGTGACATATTTAAGAATTTTGTTAACTCATGTCAATACTCAACTGTATGGGAAAGCTAAGAAGGAAAATTTAAGTTCATACACAATTCGATGTAATTCTTAATTGTTAATTGTAATTCTTACTTGTAATTAAGTATCAACCTGTATCTAAATTATGCAAAAATCTTGTATTTTTAATACTTGAAATTAGGAAACGAGTTTTTTTTAAGTATGAAACGCTATTCCGATGTATGATGGTCGGCATAAGATTCTATGAGCACCTTATTCCGCGGCGTATACACTCGCAAAATACAGAGTGATTATGCAATTGAGTGAGTATGCAATTATTTGAGTTTCAATAACGTGTAGGTTCCAATTTCCTTTACAATAACTTTCAAATGCTTAGGTACGTAGTCGTAAACATTTATCAATAATAATTTTCAACTATATTTATTTTAATAATATCATTTTACACAATATCTTGCTTTAGAGAGAACCACATATTGTTTTTACTACAATTGTTATAATAAGACGAGTATTAAATAAATAAAAATGATTAGCTATGTATATTGGGTAATAATAGGATTTTATTTGATAAGTACGAAATGTTTATATTGATTATGGGGATGAATACAATTCGCGTAATTAGGTATACCATCTATGCCCACAGATTTTCATAATACTAAGTAATAGTGTAATTAATATTTCTGGAAAATTTGCTCTCACTGTAGGGTTTGTGAAATAATATTCTGTTTGTGAAAGAAAGTCAAAATTGGTCAATTATTTACATTATTAAAAATAAAATAAACTTGTCAGTTCTATATTCTACGGGGATGATTATTCATATTTTTAAAATGGTTATAGGGTAATGAACAAGATGTGTTAGTCTTCCAATCATTTTCCTTTGCATTTTTACACTCGGAATTAGGAACAAAATACGTTGGAATAATGATTTTTACATCGGGATAAGGTGTCTCAAGTTCTTTTCATATTTAATTAATTTAGAATACAAATGAAGGTATAATAGTCAAACCCATTACCTATTTCAAGAGTAAAAACAATAATGGTTTTGATAAAAATAGTCAAACCTTCAAAAGGGTACAATCAATGCTTAATTTTCGATCTCCTTTCGAGTTTTAATTTTATTATTCTGTCGCCTGATTTATTGTTCTTAAATGCGACTGCTTCAGTACTTTTTATTCGACAAATGCGGTGAGAGATGTAACGTTTACGTAACCTACACACCGTGCTTCAAAATGGCTTTAACTGTTTTTTGTGTTTTAAATGTAAATTATACTACTTACATCATAAGGTAACAAAATGGCTTCACTATCTAAATCTGGGAGCGAACTGGTCTTGAATGTCCCCGTTGCCTTCATCATTGGCACTTGTTTTTTCTCCGTATTGGATTTATAGAAAACACCAGGTTCCACTACTTCAAAAGGCTGCTTCCAGGACCCGCGGAAGTACATTCCATTGAAGATAATCATTAGAGAATTTGATATAGAAGCTGTAACATAAAATCATATTATTTATTTACCTTTTTTATAAAATTATATAGTAATAAGCTGACAGTCCACCTGATTGAAATTGACTACAAAAACCTATGGACATCGGAAACAGATTTTAAGGTATTTTTATTTAATAAAAATACCTTCAAATCTGTTTTATAGATAGAATAAATATGACAAACGAACACACTGTCCACCTGATGGTAAGTGAATGCTGTGGCCCATAGGCATCTACATTTCGGCCATTAAAAATAAAAATGTAGATGCATTTTCTCCCCTGGAGACTTACATGGAATGCCTCATATTCAGTAAAATGGGTCTCTGGTTATCTACACTCACTACATGAAACATGGGAGCATTAAGCTTCTATTTTACGCTGATATTCTGTGAGAGCGTTTCCTACCCCGATCTAGCCCACCGATTTATGCTACAAACATAATGTAGCTGTAGCACGGCTCTACCTAAGTAATAATAATAAAACACTACGGGTATGTTGCCATGTTTGAGGACTAAAATTTTAAACTTCATAGTCTGTCAATGAAGTGACTCTATGTTCTTCAAGCCAGAAAACTGTAGTAGATATAGAAGAAAAGAAACAGATATTTATTAGGCCATTTCTTAACAAATTAGCACTAAATACTCAAAATAAACATTATGTATAGGTAATCTTATACACTTACAATGAAAAATAAATCATTTTTACAAAGGAGATAGGTACAAAAAAAATATAACTAAGCCAATAGCTAACTAAAAAAAACTTATTTTATGGGAAATGGTCCAAATAGAAAACGCTAAGATGTGTCACCCTAGCCCTGATTTTCAGAGGCAACGTTAAGTATATATATATATATATATATATATATATATATATATATATATATATATATATATATATATATATTTACATTAATAATGTAAGTACATACATATTTACATACGTTTTGAATATACTTTTATATTTAATTTGGGCCACAACTGCCTTATATTTGTGGTGCTGTACCGGATGTTTATGAATGTTCATTTCATTGCATCAACTACACTTATGTGGAATAGGACGCCTACCTACCAACTAGTAAATTTCTGACCTCTCGAATTCAAAATAAATATACTTCATTGTAGTAAGCAATTTACTCACGTTTACCAGATTTTTTTCCGACGCTATTAACAGATACACTTGAAGTAATATCATTTTTATTTTGCAGGATTTTCAAGCTCCTAGCATGATTTCTTGCTTCAACAGCTACCATCGTTTCTTCTTCATCATTCGATTCTTCTTTCTCTTTTTTAGGATATGTCTTAACTAGTTTAATCTTCTCCTTAATGTTCTTTGCAGGTTTATATTCTGTTTGTGAAATATCAATTTTTTCAGGTTTATCCACTACGGCGAAAGAGATAAATTTCTCTTCTGTTTCTTTAGGAAGTACAAGCTCAGGAATATCTTCCTTCGTTTCGCTATCTTCTTTTTTCTTGGGTAGTTCAACATTAACTTCACTGTCAGTATTGGTATCATCCGATTTTATCTCGTCTGAGTTATATCGTTCAACTGATCTAACTTCTGTTAGATAATAATCCTCCAAAATCTTTTTGTAATCTTCGTTAACGGTATAGTTTTTGTAAATATAAAAGAAATTTTTCAATTCCGGTTGATTATATTTATATTCATTTGTGTTTTTAAGCCTCTCCATTATATAACGAAAAGTTTTTCTGGTAAGATTTTGGTCTTCTGGCAAATGCAATGCTGTGATTAGTTGGTTTCTTGTTTCGCCTTTGGCTCCTTCAGCTAAAATGGCAAGGATTGCTGCATATCCAAGAGGTGAAAAAGCAATATTTCTATTATCATCTATGTAACCCTAGAAAAAAATGGAAAGAGTATTAGTTTCTTTATTTGAATTAATAACAAGCTTAATGTATCTTCACAAAAAAAGTGTTGTAATAAAAATCGACATAATCATTAAAATAATCATCATTACTTCTTTAATATCCACTAAACAATAATGGAGTTCCTCACAAATTGGATGAAAAGCCATAATCACCAGCCTTGGAAAGTGGTTTGATAATCGCCAGTCACTTTGCGCTTTTGACACTGCACTTTGTTGCCGGCCTTAATTAGCATTTTCTTAGCTCGGCTCTTAAAATGGTCAAACAAGTAAATCTCATTATAAAAAAGAACCTGAGAGTAGTTATCTAACTAATATGTTTATTATGGTCATTACTACTTTTTAGATCTCAAATTTTCTCATAATCTATCTAAAAAAAGATCTAATAGTCCACGGTGTCCATGAAATAATGATAGATTGATTAAAATATGATTGCCCAAATACAATTTTTAGGAGTTACAGACAGATACAGGACGTACATACAGTCCAGCCAAAAATCTTTTTTCTGGGCTCCACAACAGCCGGGTTCGTAATGATTATAAATCTTCCTCATAGTTCACATGTACAAGCTACACTTAACTATCATGTAATAGAGGGAAAAATTTTAACGGCTTTCTATTACAATTACCTGAAATATAGTTGTAGAAAGTTCGTTAGTTGCTTCTCCGACGAAGCTGGTCTCTTTTGGTTGGTCGGTGCGGGCTCGTCTCAACCATCGCGCGCTGCTCAGGCCCACCGCCAAGCATAATACTGAAAGAAAATATTTATCAACAAGTGGTAAAATTAGAATAGTCTTTAATATAAGTAAAATAAGAACATCATCAATGTAATCGAAGTTAATTAAATACGCATTATTAAGGATTACTCAAAATCTACTGGTCAGGTCTTGATCAAATGATCATGAGAAGTACCAGCTTTCAAACGGAAAAAGAATCATCAAAATCGGTTCACTTAGAAAAGTTCTGAGGTAACACACATGAAATACAGTCGAATTGAGAAGCCCCTTTTTTAAGTCGGTTGAAAACAAATACTTCCTTCATATTAATAAAGACTGTTTATAGTGAAGAGGTTCTCTTGGGCAGACGGTGAAACTTTCGAATACTTTCAGAAGCTATCAACTGCGCAGTAGTTTTAGTATCACGTAGAAACAAACTTATAAATACCGATGTATCTAGTTAACTAATACATACTATGCTACTTCGCTGTAATGCCCATGCGATAACTGTCACAACCAAAACAGCTAGAACCGAAATCCAACAAATTTTGTTTTAGCCTTTTTGGACAAACGTAGACTTTGGACAGGAACACAAGACCTGCAGCGTAATAGAAACCTGACCTAGGCCATTCTATTACATTATTTACCTATCAAACATAACATTGCAATAAACGAAGTTGTAAAAGTTAAATAATTTAAAAATACTGCCAACAAAAACCTTATTTTATCACAAGCGGTAACCAGTTTTGTTAGCATTAACTTTATTTTTGAAGACAAAAATTAACTTATTGAAAAGTGAAAGTTTAATACTAAAAAGAATATTATAATTAATCGTAATAAAAAACGTGATGCTAGATATAGTCTTTAAAAAATATTACAAAAATTATAAATAGTCAGTGTTCCATTCAAAGAGGTAAAAAATTAACTAAAAAGTAAAAACTAGCCAGAATAATACGATTTTAATGTCATCTAAACAGTTACATTTTATCTCTTTCTATCTTTTAAATGTAGGTATATGGAATCACCCCTAAAGTATATTTATTTAATAAAAAAAAGAATCATCAAACTTGAAAAAACAAATTAAAAGTTCTAACGCATATCTCTTGTTCAAATGGCATAACCATAAATAATATAAATGCTTAATTTATTCCAATATATTATATAATTATTAAATAAACCACATAGTTTACTCCTCGTGATCGACAAACACGACAGCAAAAGTTTATACAGAGAATTTCGTTTTCAATCTATTTTAAAGATAAACTATATCACATATCATTTCAAGGACCATTTAGCTGTTAATTTTGTGCGGTTATTTTTGTAGAAAGCTAGACAAATGAATACAAAAAGTGTTATACTTAAAAATTATGGTCTACAACATCGATTTCACATACATAATTATTTGTATAATTGAATTAATTTACATAGTGAAATTGACAGTGGTCACAGTTGGTGTCAGTGAAACTTGGTGTCTGTGTGTACTATATCATGTCTAAGATTGTGATAAGCCGTTAGTTCATATCGATTAAAACTGGTTCTAGAGTAGAGATATCTTGTATAAAGCCGGGTGAAAATGTGGGTCGCTTTCTTGTAGCGGTATCGAAGTTGTTTGCGATAAACTGTCGGTAACAGTGAATTTACTTAATCGAAATCATTTTTAAAAGACATCAATGATTATTACACTGTTGTGTTTATTAACGTGTTGCAGTTAGTCAAGACGAAGAGGCCCTATTTAATTTATTTATTTACTACTATTTGTATGTTGTTTTTCAATTGCGATATTTAAAAGTCTAAATTTTATCTCAAATTAATCGTATCTCAATGTTTTGATGTCCATGGAGCCCTATTCTACAGTTTGTAATCTCAGATTTAGAGAATTTCTTTTTAAATCCTTCCAACTGATATAAGACCACTACTGTAAGCACAAATAAGCAAACAAAACCATGTTATTATTTGCAAATGATTTTAGGAGGATATGTGTGCATGAGCGAATAATGATCTGTTAATGAGTTCTTATGTTTACCCAAACACTACACATTTAAATAAAACTAGTTTTTACAGATTTTATCGCATATATTAATTTATTTAATATTCTTATAAGTTAATATACACGATAACACCCGTAAAACTAGATTTATTTAAATGTTTTTTTTTTTTGGTAGGTTTTGGCGTCACTTAAATGTAATATATGATTGTTGTATGTGTTCGAGTTCATATGAAATTACTAATTACTAATTAATACTGATTCATTTCGCGTATTTTTAGACAAAATGATAACATCGCATTGTCTCCAAGCCAATTTCATTTCACAATTGCGTAATGAATAATTGATGAAAAATTGAATTAGGCTTTCGTTAAAATCGATTCTGTACTTTTTAAACAAAGTATAATTATCACTAATTATTCTTTAAATTGGAAGTTTTAAATGAGAACAAAAGACCGAGGAGCGAATTGCATTCATACTCTGCTTTTATTTAAAGTTTAAACACAATTTTATGGTTAGAGCACAAATGGATCGGCGCGACCCGGAAAAGACCATACTCTCACAGACTACCAGCATAAAATAGTACCTTAAATTTGCTGTGTTTTTCTGCTAAATTATTTTAACAGGTTTCTTACAGTGTCAACAATAATAAGTTTGGAGTTTAATTGCCTGTGTTCAATGATTAGGCAGTTAAATAACTCGCATAACTTGCGTTAGTCAAGGCCGAAAGAAACATATTATGTACATCCGTACTGCTCGTCTGTAGGGTCACCAATATATCACATATACGCAATATTTCTTAAGACACAATTTTATTTCAAAATCAAGCCATTAAGGTGGGTTTACGCTAGACGAGCCGAGCACGAGCGAAGCATGAGCCGAGTACAAATTCGTGTAGTATGGACCGAGTTACAAGCCCCGAACGAGCGCGCTTCGATTGTTTGGTTCTTGCTCGACTGTGCTCCGCCTGTCGATTTTTTGACAAACGCAAAGGGATTTGCATCGCATGCATCGCATGTAGTGGGCTTGTTGTATGTGCAGACTTGACACCGCGAGTAGAGCGGCTCGGCTTGAGCTCAGCTCGTGCTCGGATCCTCTAGCGTAGACTCCTTAAGAATTTTATAAGTAAATATTTTTTATCATGGCTCATGTTTGTCATAGCTTCAACGCTTAGCAGGCGGATTGATGACCGCAATATTTTATTATTACGTTGTTATCATGAAGTTTTAGGTACCCTTCACCGCCTTTTAAATTACCTCCTCTTATAAATGAGTGTGAAGGAACATGTCATTCCATTCATTATTTAAAATTTTCTATCAGCGTTTACGATTGAAGAAAGTCAACTTCGCTAACCCTCTGCCATGGACGCATGTTTTCATTACGGTATCGGAAACAAGCGGGCACATTGTAAGTTTTATTTTTAAGAGCTTTTTAAACAACATAAATCGATCATATGATATAAAAATAAAATTTGTTTAGAGTCTATATTATATATTATTACTTTTCTATGTATGCAAGGTGTAAACGTTTTCTAACATAAGAACTTACAAATATACGCACACACTGATGCTTATAATTGTTGTGTTGTAATATCGGATTAATTACAACAACTTCCACATAAGTTAATTAATTGTAAGACTTTTTTCTTTATGTCCTTAAAGTTTTGGAGAATTAGATGTGAATTATATCTAATACTGCGAATGACGACTGATACCTTAATTAAGCAAAAATATCATTATTTCCATTCCTTTCTACATGTGATAAATAATAACAAAAATTTACCCTAGCAATCCTTTTAAATATTTGTTGAAAATAACAGTGTTATATAAACTAAGGTGAGTGCAACAAAGTGTATTCGTATCCATATTAAAAATAGCTGGCCAACGTTCTTTTGTACTTTTTCCTTATTAAAATTTCCTATTATGTTACTGGTTACACTACTTACTTAGTGCAACGGTATGGTTGCGACTTGCGACTATGCATTAGATTGGAGATGAACATAACATGGATGTGGTTTTACAATAATATACTAATAAAATAAATAACATATAAAAAAGTGTATGCGATTTGGTCTGATGATCTTTCGATTATTTATGCAATCGATTTTAATGAAAATGTATTTATTATACAATTAAACGTCAAGTTGAATTAGTTAGGAGACAAAAAAATATTGTAATACAATATCAATACCATCAGCAATAAAATCCTCCCTGCAATGGGGGTGGGGCTGCCCATGTCCAGTATTAAACGTTTACAGGTCTTTAAAGGAGAAGAAAAAAATCTGATTATACAGACTTCAAAACGTTAAGATACGTTGAAATCTGAACTTTTAAAATAACTAATCTAATACCTATAACAAACTTCCTAATGTAAAGTTAATATAAAGGGTTATTTTTTCTTTCATGCTCTTTTCATCAAAAAGTAATAAGTAATTTAATATTTTTCAAGGAAGGAAATTGTAAAATGAATATAAGGTATAATTCAAAAAAATTTATATCAAGGCTTATCCACATAGTTCTACGCGTTGATGAGTTAGTAAAGCGCTTTTAAGTGCGGTGAATGCACTATACTGACCTACGCTATTGTGCTCGTGTATGCGTACCGACAACAAAATAAGCGATTTCTATCTTCGTATCACAAATAGCGCACGTTACATGAATTAACATTGCGAGATTTGTCTTGTCTTCCATTTACTTGCCTTTTGAATTTCACAATATGAATCTTATTCTATAACTCGGATCGTTTGTCTTCGGCAAAAACAAAATTAATTTATATAGTTGGAAAAGCTTCTTTTTACTCTAATTCATTACTTTACAAGGAAATATACCGTTAATTCAGCGCTTGAAAAGCTGTTGATTTAGCAAATACTTCCGCGGTGAAGATAAACATCGTGAGAGAAACCATCATGTCTGGAAATTTAAAAAATACATTTCAAGGACATGCCGCTGATCGGTCTCTCCCCTCTTTCGCGGTTGACGTAGTTACAGATGATGATGAGAGTTGTAGATGTAGTTACTTATTATATACTTCATTACTGTCATTTTAACATTT